GTAGGTTCGAATCTGTCCCTCTAAACTACGAAGCGGAACGACCGTTATGAAGGTAATAGTCTACGACGCCTCACTGTGTTACTCCCTCCCGAAGTCACGAAGTTATCTCTCAAATTGCACTCGAGAGCAATGGGCCGAAATATGTATCACCCCGGTCTTCCGTTCTTCCTGCATATGAGCCGTCACTTTGACAGCTTGAATGAAATGCCGAAAGATCTTGCCACTTTCTCTCTTTGAGGTTTGTACGGGCAAGCGGCGGTTTTCAATTCTTCTATTTCGAAAAGAAATATGTCTAGAGCTAAATTTCGTCTAAGCGGATCTTTTCCCAAAACGGCTTCTTTTATGTCGAACCTCGATGATCAGTCTACAGCGATATTGTAACATTGATTTTGTAATATTCAGTAATCATGTCGCAGCAGCTTGTTGTCGTTTGTCTGGCATTTGTCAACTATGTTTTAGGGTAGAACTAAATCCAGCACAGTTGTTCAGAAAGTTAAGTGATGTCTGTCTGGTGTTGTACTCGTTTTGATATGCGTCTAGAGAAACTGAATACAGTGGTAGCCGGTTGAATACCCAGCGACGATATACAGCGTGTTCAGAGAGCAACATGGCAGCAAGTTATATAAGATCTGATCTGATCTGTCCATTACAGGATACATATGCTGTGCATCGCGTACGGTACAGAGATTATTAAATAATTGCACTGGAACACGTTACGAAAGAACTGGCAGTAAATAGACAAGTGTCAATGTTGCATTCAGGAGTCATGCCCTTGCCCTAATCGTCATTTATTTCACTTTCTATTCAAGAATTAAAAGCGGTTGTCGCCAATTGATGTGCTGCTTTCAGAAGTCTAGGAACCTTCTGCCTTTCTGCCATGATTTGCCGGAAACTACGTTCAAAATTCGCAGTTTATTAATACAAAGAGAAAGTGCACAGTTTGATAATCGTTTAACAGGAACACAGTTTGACAGGACGTTTGACAGGAACACAGTTTGATAATCGTTTAACTTTATCGTCATATGGCGACGGTGAAAAATTTCAATATTAGAAGTGCAAGTGTAGTAGCCATGTGCATACATTTGGGTAACCAAAACAACTCACAACTACTTCACTCGACGAATGTCTTTATGGCTGTTTCAAAATGTGTCTAATTGTTGTGCTCTCCACTGTCAAATCCGGCCACCGGTTCATGTTTTGCTTCCTACACATAGAAATCAGTACAGAGTTTCAACTTCTTCAAGATAAACAAAAATCTGTTAGTTACTTGGTGAGTTCTTCAAGGAAACATTTGTTTACCACCCAACGGTTGACGACACTTCATTTAACAGGTCTGAGACGATTGTTTATGGCAGCAACGTTATTAGTTTCATTCATAACATGAATCGCTTTCCAAAACTCCACTCCTGGGAGCTGGGCCAGTTGGCAGAAGACCTGGACACCTGCGTAGCAGATCGCAGACCCTGCCTGTTTTTTGCCGCTACGTTCTACTGAGCGACTTTGATAAAGCGATTCCTACGAACTATGACTGATGGCTCCACAGATGTAACCTTCAGTAAAAGAAGAACGAAATCTATTTAAGTCCGTCTTCAAGATTTGTGATGCTTTGAAGCTACAAGGCAAAACCGACCGTATCATCAGGAGTTACATTTCAGTTTGAGAAATGGACCTGCTTAAAGATAATTACAGAACTCGTTACTTCCTGAAGATGTGAGGATTGACCAAAAATTTAAAAGTAAAACCAAATTACCTCATGTAATTTAAAAGTAAACATTTTCTAATATATGGCCATTTTCTGAAAGTATAGGATCTAGTGCCTGTATATTTTATTTTCAATTATAAATGCGTGGTGATATAATATTTATTTATGAATTGCAATTTCTCTAATGAAAATGTAGTCAATTTAAGTGACTTTGAGAAGATCTCATGAGATAAGAGGATCGATCATGCGTTTTAAAATCCGGAATGAAATGAATTTGTCCACTTGTTGAACAAGATTATCGCGCACGTAAAACGTTACAAATTTTATGACTTCAGATTAACAGTTATATTAACATTTACTATTGCTTTATGTTGAATTCAAACCTGTTCAAGGATTGCTCAAGATCTGTACGGTGGCCACAAGTCAAATATGATTTTGCGTGATAACAATGAAGTCGATCGGAGTGGCCATTGCTGCTGCGGATGCATGCACCTGAAGACTGCGATTATCGCCGTTGGGGTGCTGCATCTGTTTTTTATCGTACTGTCGACCGGAATTATATCGAGGCTGTTCGAAAGTGATTTTTTAGGAGTGTCGTTCTTCGTCACCGGACTGCTGATCCAGGTTATAAATTTTGTAGTCCTGATTGTCATGTTCTATGGACTGAGAACTGGACAGAACGAACTGATTGTTCCTTTTGTCGTCGAGCTGGTGCTGTACTTGATCTTCCTTGGAAGCATGCTCACCTACTTTATCACTACCATTTTGATCAGCTTGGTGAAGGAAGAGAAGTTTGTCACTGACACAAAGACGATCATTCAGGTGGTGCTTTTGGGCTTGGCCAGCGCACTGTACTCGTGGATGCTTTTCGTATCGACTGCCTTCTACAAATATGCCAGAAATATCCTGCAACTTTCGTTCTGTGATGCCATGACAAGGTTCGACTCACGAGGATACGGCCGCTCCTGCTAAAAGGCATGCCACATGCAACCGCAGATCCGAACATGAACATTATCAACGAAGTCGCCATTTCGGATACTGACTGGCGGACCATCCACTTTTTTGGGAATTTGTAGTATCATATATCATATTTACTCTTTTTGAACCTGCGTCTGGGTTTTGTGCAATGTCATTTTTCAATGCTTTAAGAATTGAGAAAGAGTAAAACAACCTCTTCGGTACCTCACCATCATGTCCCTTGCAACTGTAAAATGAATTATAACTTTACGTCTTAGCAAATGATAACTGTTAAACCTATTCAACAGGCGGAAAACGAAATCTGACAAATAATGAATTAGAAGCGTTCGGTCAACTTGAAATGCTTATATGCAGTCAGTCCCTAGACTAAAACCACTCTGAGGAATATGGAGTGCCAAACTTTAAATCAACCATAGATATCAGGACTGTTATTGATAACAACTAAATAAGGTTCAGATGTATCTTCTACAGTGACATTGAGAAGTGAGGGGAAACGAAAATTACCACTCAGGCCACGTTGACGACTATCTACGCTTTAGAGACGCGAATGCGACAGATCAGTCAATGGGTTAAAGGTTTATGATCCTGCGCCAGTTCCTGAGCTTCGGCAGACGATGACCCGAGTTACAACAGAATTCGTCAAGGCATTTGCTTCAGGCTATTTTAGGACTTTGCGGTTCTTTTGTTTGTCACTGGCGGAAATAGTAGCTGTTTCCCCAGCTAGCCTTGTAAGTCTGGAGTATCAGCGACTGTACGCCAAGGCTTTCTCGGCAATCTCAAACGCGAACTCTTTCGAGGCATGAATCTAGCGATGCGTCACAGAAAGCTCATTTCAGACGCCTGTACCCCTGCTCTTATTTTTTCAGTTCAGTCATGTTCCACGGCTCAT